GCATGACGCCGTAACTCAAACAGGCTTTGACCATTAAACTCTAGAACCTAGATTTCAGGGCACAGGGTTTGGAGTCTTAGTTCAAACGCCTGAGGCCCATGAATGCCCAAACCCGAAAAGGCCCTTACAGGACCCTGCTGCAATCCTGTAATTAACCTGAAACGCGAAACCTGAAAGCCAAAGCTGTGAAGCATCCACGACAACAGCCTAAAGCCCATGAGGCATAAACCGCTACTTCGAGGTCGGGGGACAAGTATCATCACCCCAGTTTTACCGCCTTTGAGTACGTACTACCTACAAACCAAGTCCCCGACCCTCCTGGTAGACATCCTGTTAAAAGCTTTGCAACACCTAGAAGAACCTTTTCCAGAGTCTTCAAAAGTAAATCACAACAACTGCATAGGAATACAATCGCCTAGGATTTCAGGTTCAGTGATCCCCTAAAATCGTACCCTAAGCACCAGAGACTAAACCCTAAATCCACTAAAGACAGGTAGCTTCTTCCTTCTCAAGGTGCCTGTTTCACGACAACCTAGGCCCCTAAACCCTAAACCCTAAACCCTAAACCCTCTAAGCCTCCGAACTCCTGCAGAACGCGTATCGAGCTCTTTAAAATAATGACTCTTATCCCAGAGGTTGTCCCCAAAAACCACACAGAGATGGCCTTCTGCAACCTAATCCCATAATCATTATGTTAGTGTATATGGCATATATTCACCATCTGCATATTGGGATGCTTACATGTCAGTGCAGAGCCCTGACATACAAGCCTGCTCATACCCACAAGTCACAACTGCCACAAGAAGTCTTACCCGAAAGACCGTGAACACTATCACTATACCCTATGCCGTAGAAGAAAGAAACCCTTAACCGTATAAACCTTGACCACGCCGTAGTCTCATGTAAGAAACCTGGGGCCTTTATTAGGGCTCCCTATGTAAAACTATATTGGGGCTGTAGCCCAGGGTTTCTTAATCAATTTCCTACATTACAAAAGAATGAACCTCCCAGTTGGTTGCTGTGAAAGACTGGAAAACTCCTGCTCATTCTCAAAAAAACGGCGAAGACTCGATTTTGCGGGGCCACGGCAGCGAGCCGTCAGCCAGGTGTGTACGATTCATAGTGAACCCCAGAGAAAATAGGAACATGGATCTTGGATGATTCATGCTGGGATTCCCTATACTTTACCTTAAGGGCGTGAGGATAATAACTTTCTGGCTTCTACTGTGGGAGCTCACACCGTAGGGTTTCCCACACATGTTCTTCATATGTTGCCGCTGTTTGTTTGCTTTCTTCTCGTCGTACGCTGGAAGCATGTTAGAAAGGTGACGTGGTCTCCCTAAATACACCCTTAACCATCACGTTTTAACGCTAACGCCCAAAACCCAAAAGATCAACCGCATCCCATGTCCTAAAACCTATAAAGCCGTAGTGAAAAACTGTTTCATACCCCTGAAAAGATCCCTAGAAGAACCTCTATAAACTAGGTCTTGCCTGGGTGTTTCGGGGTTTAGCTCTGGGGTTTGGGGTGGAGAATTACTGTTAGAAGACTTAGGGGTGTAGGTCTGTATTAACATTATAGGGTTGACAAGAGCTTCATAAATCAAAGTTGTTCTGGCTTTATAGGGAACCTGGCAACCTGATTCATCTGGTGCATGCATTATAAGCATTCATACATCCATCCATCCATCCTTTCATTCATATATATATATATGTATATGTATAAAGATGCATAAATATGCATATATATATATATATACGTATATATAATATATAATATGTATATATATATATATATGTATAGATAGATACAGAGATAGATATTTATCTATTTATGCAAGGCCCCCCCCCCCTCATGCACACACGCTTTGGCTTGAATCGTGTAGGATCTTGTTCGTGTCCCTAGAAATGTTTTCAATCTCCATTTCCATTCTTGGTCGTATCTAAATACATTAAAGGACCAATATGCTCCTCTATGCTAGTATCAACTGTAGCTCCACCATTACATTTCCCAAGGATATTGTTACCATGAGCAATGTCTTTACCACTGAGGTCAGTCACCATGGGTACAAGGGTATCCCAAGAACCCGTGCTTTCCCAAATCTGAGATGTAGAAGAAAGGCGTGGGTACATCGAGGTTTTGTTATGTAAAATATGGAAACATTACAGTATTTAACTGTATGAACATACAAATATATGAGTACATAAACATATGAACATATATATATATATATATATATATATATATATATATATATATAATACATATGTATATATATAGCGATAAATAAACATATGCATGTATGTGTACATATATATATACATATATGTATATACATATGTATATACCAACATAAATATGCATATATGTATACATATATACAAATGTAAGTATATACATATATAAACATACAAATATTTAAAAACAACAATTAAATATGCGGATATATATACACTTATGTGAATACACATGTACATATATATATATATGTGTAAGTACATAACCACATAAATGTATAAACATATGCATTAAAAATCTGTGTATATATATATATATATACACACACATCTGCGCGTGTTTTCTTTATCTGTTTAGAAATGTAATTAGACATGCTTCAACATCAGATGGAAGATCTGGCCGCCGACTTCAAAAACCCGCTGGTGGATCTCAGGGGTTTGTTGAAGTCAGACTCCTGCAGGAACAACATAGTATAGGGGCGTTACCTAGAGACGCCAATATCCCTGAATTACAGAATATACCTTAAATTATAGTAGGATCCCTAATCTGATTTAAGGAATATTCCTTTATTGAGGGGTATTGGAGTCTCTGGGTACCTATATTAACCAGCTGTAGACTCCGGAAAGTATACTTAGTGTCGATTTCAACAGTCCCCTCATAGTATCACTAGGGCTCTATATATTAGATTGAAAGACAAAGCCCTACAGCCTTAACCATCCTAAACCCTAAGAACTCAACCCTGAACCCTAAATCCGAATCAATACCTAGTATAGGCTTTGCGATGTCGGGCTTAAAGGCCCAAGGTTGGAGGGTTGAGGTTTTGCGGCTTTGGAGTCAGGTTTCGGGTTTAGGGCTTGTAGGGTTTAGAACTTAGGGTTTGGGGCTTATAGGGTCTAGGGTTTGAGGCTTATAGGGTTTAGGGTTTAGAGCTTAGGGCTTATAGGTTTTAGGGATTAGGGATCAGGGCACCTGAAGTTACAAAACCGACCCGAATCCCGGAACCCTCTGCATGTTAAGCTTTGAGCTTTGGCCCCTGGAAGCTAAACCGCGAGCTTTGAATCACGCGTGGGCCATCAGCATGTTTTCTACTCTGTCTGGTAAGCTTCCACGATGCTTTCTGCGTTTGCAGACTGCCACGAACTTTATTTGTGTGTGTGTGTGTCCAAAGAAAATATGTAATCGCAGGTAGACCTGGTATACTACATACTGTACATTTTTTACTGGGCATGGTGTGTCTCACTGCATCAAAACGGCATACCGGTCACCCAGCATATTGCGTGGGATGTCCGATTCCGCGGATATGCAAGTCTTGTGAGGCCGTGCTGAATTCGTTGCGGCGACAAGCAGCGAAGTATCATGTGATCTTCGCGGAACATGGAAGCGTACAGGCCGGATGCCATTTCAGTATAGATTCACGGCATCCTTGCTTGGAACTCCCTCCGTCCAGAACGACAGGCAAAGTCTCTCGCTATTGAGGCCTGAACACACGGACTGGGGTTTGGGTGGCTTCATATTGTATACATGTTGAGGACCCCTACAAAGCCCTAAATCCCTGAAAACCCCTTCCTGACCTTACAAAGATCTTTAAAATGCACCCTTCAAAGAACCAACGCCGACATAAAAAATCAGTCTGTAATAGTCTCTCAGTGTGATAGGGTAGCTTGTACCATTCTTGCCCAGCAAGAAGGGCGGCGATAGCTGCAGCGCTAGTATAAACTCACGGACAGTTATTCTGCGAACGAGCAACTTGAGAAAGCCGTGGGGACGTTCATGGAGAGGACAAAAATTGTGATGACAATGATAATCACGAAAAAATGCTAGCAGAATGGTCACAGCTATGCATCAACCTAACCACCACCCACCGTGTTCCCCATCATCGACATCATCTTGTTGTTGGGCAATTGCATAGCAAGGGGTTTAGGGTTTGCGGACAGGTTAGGAGTTTCGGGGGAAAGGGGGTTAGGGCGTCGTGTTCGGATTCATGATAATTACACCCCTTCTGACTATGCTGAACTTAGAACCCTAGCAAAAATTACAACTAGAGCTGTTTCTAAGGGATTATAATAAACAAAAAATTAAACATATTTCTAAGTACCCCTAAGTCGTGTCGGCAGCACCACTCGAAGGGATACGTGCATGGTACGAGCACAGGGCAATTACTGCGACATGGCCGTTTCACAAGGATGTTGAATTACATCACGTTTTCCTTTATTCCAGACTGCTCAAACTCACACAAGCTTGATGCTTTACGTCTAGCCCCTCCTCCCCTTGCTCGGCGGCTACTGGTGAGGGTTCTACCAGCGGTCCATAAGGGTTTAGGGTTTAGGGCTTAGGGTTTAGGGTTTATAGGGTTCAGGGTTTAGGGTTTAAACCCCAAACCCTAAACCCCAAACCCAAAACCCTAAACCCAAAACCGTGGCTCTATGGTTTCTTGGTATGCTGGGGAAGAAGACCTGACAGCGTCAGTTCTAGGCAGGGTTCACAGTCTGGGGTGGGGCCCTTCGGGCTCCATGATTGTACCCAAATAGGGTTGTTTTAAGGGTTCCGTTAAGGATTCCTTTAGATATTGGTTCCTTTAAGGGCTTATAGGGTGTAAGGCGTAGTATATACATTGGCCTTCAAGTAGTCCCTACATGGGTACTTAGAGACCAAATACTGTTTGGGTACCCTTAGGTGTAGGTCAGCGCTCAACCTTGCCTCAGGCGCCAAAGCCTGAACTTAAACCAGCCCTAAATCCCTGAACCCCTAAAACCACCAACCCTTAGAGCAGCAAGGATGCGCCGTGATCTGAGATCCGGATTTCTGGTGGTGGAAACTGGAGTCTCAAATCGGCTAACGCCAGTCGAATGCTTTCCGGCAGGTCACGCATGGACGACTGCACCTGCGGGTTTCTGCGGAGATAGACGGGTCCTGGGACGTAGGGGTTCGGGTAAGGTTTAAAGTTTCTTGGTGTTGGGCTTTAAGGTTCTTGGGTCCGCCAGGGTCTGGAGTCTGCAGTTTGACAACATTACAGCTAACTCTGACGAAGGTTCCAGCATCTTTGATGAGGGATCGCCGTACCAGCCTTTAGGGTTTCGAGATTAGCGTTTAGATCTATTTCAATGCAATTACGTAGTTTAGGACATACCACGCCAGCAGCTGGTAACGGCTGAGAGTTTGGTTTAGGAAATAGCAATGAGGATTACAAACAGATACTCAATAGCGAAAATGAGGCTGTCGCACATGATGAGTCTTGGCATCAGTCTTTAGGTAGTTGATAATGCTGAAATGTGCCGAGACAACAAGGACAATGACGACCACGACCTCTGCCCCCCTCAGCGCCACCAGTTGTACTATGAGCCGGTACTGATGATGATGCTTGTACTTGGAGGGTCGGGGGGACTTAGTAAGTCGTTACTTTAGAGACCTATAAGTACCATAACCCCAATTAGGGTCCCTTTTTAGGGTACTTATAAGTCTACTTAGTAGCTACTTACTGAGGTTACCGACCCTCCTTGTAGAACCCTTATAAACCCCTTTATAGAACCCCTATAGGTCCCCTAAGGGTACTAAGTCCCTCGAGCCTCCAAGTACTGCAGCTGCTGCTGCTGCTAAGCCGAGAGCAGGCCAAATCTTGAACCCTACTTGGAGGATCATGGGACTTCGTAAGTAACCTTATAAGTTATAAGTACCCTACTTGGGGTTATAAGTATAGTTACCACAATTATAACCCTAGTTACTAAGTCCCCTGACCCTTTAAGTAAACCCTCAACTCCCTAAGGGTCCAAGAACCCAAGAGGATTCTATGAAGGAGACCACAAGGGCTTAGGGTAAGAGGGTCCAAGTACCCAAATAAGGGTCCAACGGCTAAGGACATAAATCCTGCATCACCTTAGTTCCCTAGACTGCGGAAATTATGGTATGTTCCTTGTTATGGGTGATGCAGGATTTATACCATCAACCGAAGTACCCAAGTAGTAGGGTTTCACAGTCCAACAACCATTCAGAGTATGGATTTTTGGACCTAAAACCCTGCTATTCGGTTACTCGGGCCCTCTGGGATTCTTATAAATCCTTCAACCTGAAATCCTAAACCCTAAACCCAAGAGTGACCATAATATGGGAGCCTTAACAACTAGAACAGGGCTCCTCTTAAGTTCTCCTTAAAAGGGATCTATAAGGGCTGCTTAAAAGGGATCTATAGGGTTCCTTATAATGGGATCTATAGGGTTTAGGGTTCAGAGGCCTAGCATACCCAGTAACCTAAGAATAAAAAGGCCTCTCTTTCTGGTATTGGGTAACTTTATAAGGAACCTAGGACTACAAAAAGGGAATAAGGGTACTACTGGGCATCTTAGAGTAAACCCCCTAAAGTTGGAAACCCGGTGAAGGCCAAATATTGCTGGGATACCTTACCCCTATGCCTCCAAGGACCTCATTATGAGGTCCTTAAGGGGTCTAGGGCCCTAACTATGAGGTCCTTGGAGGGATAGGGTTATACATGACTCTTAAGGACTGAGGCTATTGGGTTTCCAACTTTTGGGCTTCTACTGTATGTTGGAATCCTAAACCCTAAACCCATAAGTCCATGTTCAGGCACCAGCTGTGCGAAGGACATCCGAGCCACAACGCGCTCCTCGTGGAAAATGGGTTGCTGGGGCCTTTAGGGTTTGGTCTTAGGGTTCAGAAGAAGTAGGGCTTAGGGATAAGCTTTAGTGTTTAGGGTTTAAGGTCTAGGGTTTAGGTTTTGGGGTGTCATGCGGGAGATTAAACTTAAAGGGTCATGGGAATTAGTAACTAGGGTTATAATTAGGCTAACTATACTTATAATTACTTACAACCCTAATTTGGGCACTTATAACCCTACTTAGTAAGTCCCATGACCCTGCAAGAATCGGGGTCATGCGATACTTCGACAAGACGGACTGGGATTAAAATCCATAGGGACCAGAACATGAACCCAAGATTGAAGGACCCTCAAACCCGCTCACCCCAAACAAAAAAAATTGGCCATCAACGAGACACCAGAAAACCCTCACATATGAATCCTACAAACCCTTAAGCTTTGCCTGGGTATGAAGGAAGGAGTGCACCAGCGAAATACAAACCCTAAACCCTAAATCCTACACCCTAAACCCTATATCCCCAAGGGTACCAGTACCTAATAATCATATACTCTCGAAAAAACTACTATCCTAAAACCAGGTACCTAAATACTGGGTCCTTTGGACCCTTGGGGTAAGTCCCATGAACCTCCAAGTACACCCTAAACCCTAACCTCCTACAGATCCCTTATAGAAACCTGTAATTTGGAAAAAAATCCTTGAGGAACCAAGGAGCCCTATTCGAATTACTAAGGCCCCTGTACTCAACCCTAACTCCTAAACCCTAAACCCTAAAGTAACCCTTATGGGAACCCGTATAGAAACCCTATTACGGAACCCTAAACCCTGAAGTAACCCTTATGGGAACCCGTATACTAACCCGATTACGGAACCCATCTAGTCAAAATAATGGTCCCTTTTTGGGTAAGCTACAGTAAACACCAGAACATTGGAATCCGGATTACGGCCAAATAGTGCTGGGATTCCCTATACATTACTCTTAAGGATTGAGGCTATGGGGTTTCCAACTTTTGGGCTTCTACTGTAAATATTAGGTGCAGTACTAGATTAGGGACCCAAAAAGGGATCATAATTTTGACAACCACCCATATACCGGTGCGGAGCGTAATATGCTGGGAGCTGACTCGTTCTCACAGGGACCCTTAAGGGGGTCAAGGGGGAAGGGGGTAGGGAACTAGACTTCCTTGAATAGGCCTTCCTAGGTCCTTTGATCGTTATTAAAGCCCTCTACCCCCCCTCCCCCTACCGGGGGTTCGGGGTCCCTAAAAAAACCTTCGGTTGATGATACAAAGCCACAGTTTAGGGTTTAGGGTTTAGGGAGTAAGGGTTTGGGGATGATATAAACCGTGCATTACCTTCATGACCCTAGACTATGGGAATTGTGGAATATTCCTTCTTATGGATAAGGCAGGATTCTTATCATCAACCATTGCATATGCTGTCCCTATGCAATGTTGATGGTGTTGTGATGCTTTCTAACAAGAGTCTTATTGGGAGGTTTACATTACCTGAATCTGTCATGTAGCCTGAAGGACTTGGGCCGTACGCACGGATGCCTCTCCCTTGCAGTATATGTATTTCGCTTTGCCCGTACTACTCATACAAGCATCTCTGGCCACCCTCAAACCTTAAATCCTAAGCTAAAGAGCCCGATGTCTGCAACCACGACATCTTAGATAACAGTGAGTACGAAGATTGGTAGTAAGGAAAACCGATAACGTCATTCCACAATAAGGGCGAGAATGATATTGCCGACTACACCCGGGGCAGTAGCCAAATGCAGATGAAAAAACGCAGCATTTCGACTACGTAGAAATCCTGACGCCATCACTCTACCCTAAACCCTAAACCCCTAAACCCTAAACCCCCTAAACCCTAAACCCCTAAACCCGAAACCCTAAACCCCTAAACCCTACATCACTCTACTGTCAACCCTGAGACGGTCCGAAACCCCCCATGTAATTATACCCCAAAACAGAGACCCTAAAAGCCCTGATCACTAATGCCCTACATCCCATGAGCTCTAGGGTTTAGGGTTTAAGCTTCAGGGTGTAGGGTTTAGGGCCATCACAGCCCAAGATGCAATGTTCGCAGGCAGCACGATAGGTGTGGGCGGGGCTTCGTCAAGCTGCGCCTCCAAAAGCCTCTGGCTTCTGAGTGTCAGCACTACTCAAAGGGTCGTGGGACCTAGCAACTAGGGTTATAAGAAAGGTAACTATACTTATAATTACATGTAACCACAATTAGGGCACTTATAACCCTACTTACTAAGTCCCATGACCTTCCAAGTAGACTCTAAACCCTAAACCCCTATAGATTCCTTTTAGGAACCCTATAATTAGATCCCTTTAAAGAGCCCTCATGACCGTACAAAGAGCCCTTATGACCGTACTTGCTAAGATCCCAGGTCGAAGGCTTCACGCCGAGGGTTTAGCGTTTAGGACTACTCGCAGCTGTTTCCATGGGCTCATTCTTGAAAGGTACCGTGATTACGGATCGTTTGAAATATCTTCTTGAAGGGATTTCTCTAACCGTCTATGATGCTCCGGTCGCAGTTCGGTCGTGAACCCTAAACCCTAAAAACAGAATACAAGGCATCCTGCTGCGGGTATGGGATTAGGGTTTAGGGTTCAGGGTTTAGGGTTTAAGGTTTAACTGAACTACTTACCATGAAATATAACCCTCTAGACCCCGGACAAAATGACGATATCCGACAAATGTGTGTACACATATGTATATGCATACATATCTTCATATATACATAAATAATTATGTGCTGTATACCTATGCATAAACTATGGTTGGTATATTACATTATATTTGCGTCAACTTAGGATAGGGTTCCAGAGACTCCAATATCCCTCAATTACGAATATTCCTTAAATCATACTAGGGATCCGACTATAAGTTAAGGTATATTCCGTAATTGAAGGATATTGGAGTCTGTGGGTTCTTGATAGGCCTGCAGGCGATTATAGGCGTGAGGGTACAATACCAGGCCCGGCCCCGAACGCCAACCCTACTTGGATGCTCAGGGTCTACTTAGGTTCCTGAAAGGGCTACTTAAAGGGATTTAGTTGTAGGGTTCCTGAACGGGATCTGTAGGGGTTTAGGGTTTATAGTCTACTTGGAGGGTCATGGGACTTAGTAAGTAGGGTTATAAGTACCTTAATTGGGTTATATGCAGTTATAAGTATAGTTACCGGAATTTTAACCCTAGGTACTAAGTAAGTCCCATGACCCCTTAAGTAACTCAGAACCCTAAGCCCTTAACATCCGTAACTCTAAGCTCTAAACGCTCGTTGGCCCTCTTCTAGACCCAAGAGTAACCTAGGAATAAAAAGGGTGCCCTTTTTGGTTTTAAGGGGCTTATATAGGAACCTGAACCCTACAAAAAGGGAATAAGGGCCTACTCTGGGTCCTACGGTTGATGAGATAAATCCTGCATTACCCATACGAAGGAATATACCATAATTCCCATAGTTTTGGGTCCTTAAGGTAATGCAGGATTTAGATCCTAAGCCCTAAACCACCCATAGGTCCCTTAAACGAGCCCCTTAAAGGTAGCCCTATAGATCCCTTTACAGGAATATACCATAATTCCCATAGTTTTGGGTCCTTAAGGTAATGCAGGATTTATATCATCAACCGTAGGAACCCTTAAGGGAACTCTTAAGGGCACACTTTAAAGGGACCCTAGGAACCCCTAAAGGATCCCTATCATCAACCGTAGTCTTCGGTTTTTTTGTTCCGACGCTGCCGGGCCCGGCGACTGCTCAAGAGCTCAGGCTGCAAGGCTTCGGGTCTAGACCTCTTAGGCTACTGTTTGCTTAAGAAACCACCAAAAAAATAAAAAATAAAAAACAAATCCCTATATTACCACCCATAAGGAATATATTTTTTAATTTTTTGGGATTTCTTAAGCAAATAGTAGTAGGGCTTATAGTTAGAAGGGGCCCCCACCCTGTAATAGTGGTATAGTAGGAATACAGTAGGGCCCTAATGTAATCCTTATAGTCACTATTACAGGGTGGGGGCAGCTTCTAACTTATGGTTCAGAGATTTGGGGCTCAGGGTTCAGGGTTTGTTTATGGCTGGAAGGCAGAAGCATCAGCGGAGCAGCGGACTTAGTAATCAATTAGGGTTTCGGGTTTAGGGGGCGATGCTTCCGGTAGCAAGTAAGATAACTGCAAACAGACAGCGCCAGTTGACCAACAAGCCTCTAAGAACCATCTCAGAAACAAGATTCTCAACGACATCTCGGGGTGTCACTAATATAGCACAAAACTCTAAGGAGAACCCAAGAACCCCAATGCCACCCTAATGTAGGGGCCTCAATTAGAATAGGGCTTGGGGGTCTATTCTACTATATCCACACAAGATCTCGTAATTATTACGGCCCTTGCATTACTTACCAAGGATCCTGCAAGTAGGATCGATGGTTGAGGCTTCAGTACCATAATTTTGACAATCACCCATATGAGTTCTGGACTGCTGGGCTTCAACGTGCCCTTCTCTCTTTTAGGGTTTAGGGTTTAGGGTTTGAGGACTTACAATCTCTCTTCTTCAACAACCGGGCTCAAACTTTCTAAGATAGAGCTAAGATATAAGGCCAACAAGTTTAAAGTTCCCCCGTTCACTATCTAAGCCTTATCCCCAACCGGCCCTGAAGCCTCAAGCCTAACTTGTCGTTTTCGGAATCCTACTTGTCGGGTATCATGGCGAACTAGAGGTTAACCTTCTTGGGTTATATAGGGATTATATAGGGACTATACTACCCAAAAAAGGTTAAAGGTTACCTACTCTGGTAGGTCGAAGGGTTTAGGTTCGGAGATAGAAGCGAAGCCTCAAGATCTACGCAGGATTAAGGGTTTAGGGCTTAGGGGACTGGATGAATCTGGGGACCGAGCAGGTAGAGGATAATAGGCGGAAACATACGTAGGACAAGGCAGCTTAAGGTCCTTCTATCTCCAAGGTACTTCTTTTGAAGCCTATCAACTACAGTAGCTCCGAAACCCGACTTCAATATAGCACTATGACTGACTGACTATTGTTGCTATCATTACAGCTATGGATATTGTCATGGTGGCTTGCTTGTCAAATACTTTGCTGCCATTGTTGTCTGTATTACTACTCCTTCCTGCTATGCCCGTTGCTGTTATTCTGGGCCCCAAGCCCTAAACCCTGAACCCTAAACCTTAACCGTCTCGAGCATATTTCTGAAGCTTTCCAAGGGGCCGTACCACAGGAGACGCCTGGGCGACGATGCCAAGCTTGCTCGCTTTGCAGCGAAGTTTCGGTAGAAAATATGCCAGGAGCTCCTTCTTCGTCTCTGTGGCTTAGAGGACTACTGTTTAGGGGTCCAGGAATTTATGGTTTATACTATACCCCCCTTAGAACCATAATGAATATAAGATGTTCTATATTCTTTTGGGTGTTATGATGAACAAAAATTAAAACAAAACTAAGGAGACTGTATTATCGGGTTTAAGGTTTGCTGGTTAGGGATGAAGATCTTGCAAGCTTCTGCGTGTACAGGATGCAGGGTTACGCCGAATCCCCTCAATGAAGCGTTGTATTATCATATCACCCCAGTCTATCATATCAGGCATGGCATTGCTTATAACATGTCGAGGCATATCTCGTAACTAGGCGCCCTACGCCCTACCTTAACCCCCAAAAGTAACTAAAATAAAGGCCAAACACCTGTAAGAACACTTGTGGGGTCTAGGTGAAACCTAAACTTTTTGGGGTTTGAACGAAGGTCCAAGTATTCAAGAAGTCTCCGCTTTGGACCAGTAGGACTTCTCAGTACGTGGGCCTCAATATCTAACCTAAACTCTAAACACTACACCCTAAACCGTACCTGGCCCCCAACAGTATGTAGACTACTTGGAGGATCATGGGACTTAGTAAGGTTATAAACACCTTAATTGGGGTTATAAGTAATCATAAGTATAGTTACCCCCGTTATAACCCTAGTTACTATGTCCCATGGCCCTTTAAGTAGTAGCATTTTCTAGGTGGCGGGCCATGATTTTACATACATTTTGGAGGCTAAGGTCCAGGGTCTGCTATGACTAGGATACCCAGTAACCTAAGAATAAAAAGGCCTCTCTTTTTGGTATTGGGTAACTTTATAAGGAACCTAGGACTACAAAAAGGGAATGAGGGTACTACTGGGCATCCTAGCTATGATCAGGACGACCGCGACAGCCAGGAGGCCACGATGAGACCACCAGGAGACCACACTAGAGAACGCGGGAAACCATCAAGAAAGCGCAAAGACCACCAGGAGACGCCAGAAAACCCTAACAGACCGCTAGGACACGGTCCAAATGCTCCCCCGAAGTACTGACGGCCGCGGCTCACATGCTTTCCCTCAGGTACTGGTGGAGTTCAATAGGAAGTATTGGCGCATTCCGCTTGCCCCGAAAAACTGGCGAGATTGGGAGGATGCCTGAATCCCAGAGGGTCCATATACACAGCATTCTGGAATCCCTCAGGCTAATTTCACAATGGCAGTATGCAGCTCCGGTCTAAGCTCTGGTACTCAGAAGGTGAGAACCCACTCCAGGGTATGTACGACACTGCTCGGGGGAAAGACTAGAGCCTCCAAGAACAGGCGGGGTTTAGGGGTTTAGGGTTCAGGTGCTAGAAATACGTCTTCTATTTCGGGTCGTCCAATTCCCTGACCCCGGCAGGGTTTCGCCAGTCCTGGTCGTCCATTTTACGCAAGAAAGTCCTCTGATTCTTGTCCGGCTTGGCATAGCCATCATGTGGCAGGTGGCAGAACCTTCGTCTGTGTGCGAAATCCTACACCCTGAGCCCTTTACTAAAACCGAAACCCTGAACCGATAGCAAAAAAAGTTGCACGGCCTCAAAAGCTAAACCCGAAACCATCAACCCTAAAACCCAGTGTAATGAAGGGTCCCAGCAACTCGCAATGCGTTCGAGGCATCGCAAACCGGCCACTTGGCTACGAAAATACAGAATGGAGCAGCGCTTTACTTGGGGTCTGGATCATTACGGAAAATCGCCAAAGACGCCCAGCACATGTATCATGGCAAGCGCAGTCGAGGCACTGGCAGTCTGCTCCCTTTTCACATCCCGAGGATTTGACCATGAGGACGCAGGGTCTGCTGCATAAGAATGGGTGCCCGCGGGTGCCGCATGACCTTCCAGACAAGCATCTAGTTTAGCCCACATACTACTGATACTACTGGCAGCATACCCTAAGCCCTACCCCCTGAACCCTAAACATACCTTCATATGCCTTTGGTGGTATACTGTCTAGATCCGGTGGCCTAGCCTACTGCCTCGGGCTTCTGGGTAAGCCCAAAGGGTCCGAGGACCGAAATAGTAAAGTTTTTAGGTCGCAAGCAGTTCTGGGCATCTAAAGCCCTACTCGGACCGGTAATGTAGGGACCTTCATCAGAATAGGGTATTGAGGTATCTTATGCTAAATACAGAACAAGGAACCCTAAAAATAGTAAAGGTAATCATTAGGCCCCTGTAGTACTTGGCCTTAAACCCTAAACCCTTTGAGGGCTGAGGCTTCCAAAAACGGGAGGGGGCTGAGGATCTAAGTCCTGAAGGCTTCGGGTTATGGGGTTAGCTTAGGAGCTTAGGTATTCAAATTTAGGAGTTAATCCCTAAATCCTAAACCCTAATCAGATTTACTATACTGAACTTAGAACCCTAGCAAAAATAACAATTTTAGCTGTTTCTTAGGGATTTTATAATAACCAAAAAAACTGAAAAATGATTTCTAAGTTCCCCGAAGGGGTTGAATCCTTAGGGCTCTAGGGTTTACGGGTATCTGACGGTGAATTCACTCCCGCCCCAAGATAAGCCCCTTGGACAAGACTGCCCAACACCCTTCGGTTAAGGTTTCGGGTTTAAGGTTTACCTTAACCTACCAAACCCTACTTCCTTGTAGGTTCTTATTATGAACCCTAATATGGAATTTATAGGGACCCTACATAAAAGTAGGATTTGGTAGGTTAAAGTAGGGTTTAGGGATCGAAACCTCACAACTCCGCCAAGGCTTCGGTGTCTAGATTTGGTATCTTCCCATCCACTCAAGTCTTCTTCCCGAACTGCATGGATCCAAGCAAGTGTTTAGATGGTCTCTTTCTACCGATCCAGCAAAATCCCAGCTCCTGTCTTCGCGTGATGTTGCGTTGGATCTTGGACCGTTCACGGTGCCAGTTGGAAACGCTCTGCACCCCTTTCCCCGGCGTTAGGTCTCCCCCCTCCCCATCTCTCCCCCCCACCTCGTATAAAACCCGCCTGTTTTTTGCATGATCTCTGAACGTCGTCTAAAATCCACAAGTGGCGACGAAGAAGCCGGAGGTGTGGTCCGTAAAACCAACGGGAGCGCTCTTCGGCCCAGAACCCAGAGACTCCAATATCCCTTAATTAAGGAATATACCTTAAATCATATTCGGGATCTTATCATAATTTAAGGTATATTCCTTAATTAAGGGATATTGGAGTCTCTGGGAATGTATCCCCACCGCAAAGCTTAAATGTCGCCGCTGAACCTACAAAATGATTCTCGGCACTTTGTGAATGCCCCGGCTCGTCCTTGTGGCAAATGAATAGGCGTGGATTTGATGTTTAGCGTGGCTAGAGCCATACCTTCGATATCAAGTTTGCTTGATGCCTTTGGCTTGGAACCAGCACACCTCGTTCCCGGCGTTGGTTCAGGATTTACTGTTGAAGCCTGTTAGGGCTTAGGGTTTAAGACTTTAGGGGTTTAGGGCTTAGGGGTTAGGGTTTCAACTCACTACCAAAATCTGCCTTTTTGCAGGGCCCCCCCCCCATAAGTTCTATAGTCGGGTTTGTAATCAATCAGAACCTACTGACAAGCAGGTTATGGTGGTTTAAGTAGGGATTTCGGCTCTAAGGGTTTGGGCTTTGATGAAATCGCCAAGATATTTACCCCGAGCAACATCACGACAAACAGACAGGTCTTAACCCTAAACCCTAAACCCTGGCTTTCAGTTCCAACCCCCCCTAAGCCTCCACACACAGCCGCCCTAAGACTACGTATTCGAAAGTATATATAGTATATAGTATAACACTAAACCCTGAAACCTTTTTGCCATAAGCCTTAAGGCCACTTAAGTCAAGGCTCCAAAGCCCTCATGCGCAAAGGCCGGCAAACCCCTGTAAGCGCAAACTCCCAGGATAGAACCCCAACTATCCTACTAAATGGCAGTTTACAGTAACCCCCATTAAGGGTTCTCCTTTCCAGATTCTGGATCCTCCCTGGGGCTAAGATTTATCTACTATAGGGGCCTTCATATTTAGACTAGGTTTTGGGGGCCCATTATACTGTAAGTATAATACAGTAAGTAATAAGGAACCCCCCAAACTAGTATTGATAATTATTATCGCCCCTATATTATAGAACCCTACTATAGATCTCTGCTAGACCCCTCATTTAGGCCCCCCAACGACATATTGTTGGATACTCCCAAGGCTCTCCGGTGCAGTCGAGTGACAACCAAGGCAACGGCTTCCCTGCGTCTGGGCCGGGCCTGCCCCCAAAAAGCTTCAGGGGACTACATTACTTGGTGGATCATGGGACTTAGTACGTAAGGTTATAAGTACCCTAATTGGGGTTGTGAGAAATAATGAGTATTAGCTACCTATATTAGTTATAGCCTTAGCTACTAAGTCCAATGACCCTTTAAGTAAGGCCTTTAGGGTTCAGGGTTATAAAGCTTCATGGGACTAGAATGGGGCTCTATAGTACCCTCCAAGTGTCAAAACAGGATGGTTTCACAGTCCAAAAACCATTCAGAGGATGCATTTTGGGACCTAAAACCCTACTAATTGGGTACTTGGGCGACCCTAAGGGTCCATGTAACCATATAATAGACACTTTGGTCCCTGAGTACCTATAGAGGGACTACATTAAAGCCGAAGTATATACTGCATGAGCACATGGTTTTAGGCCTGGGCTTTGCGGATTGCAGATTTCAGGTTTCGGGGCTTTGCGGGAAAGGATGGTTTGTTGATAGGCTGGAAGGCCTCGGCTTCTTTTCGTCTCAAAGGTTGGCATTGCTAGGTCTTTTGTGGCACACAGTTTCCGTCTGCACGATTGTCTCATGCATTTCTAGGTGTAGGGTTTACAGTTTAGGGCTAGGGTTTAGGGCGGCCTTTATCATAGTGTCTGAGGGCTGTCGGTTGAGGGTCTTCCGGGCATATGGAGTTAAATGGTGAGGGTTTCTTGCCCATTGCCCAGACGCCTTTAAAGGAGTCCCTTGGTAAAGGACCTTCAACCCATTAGCGGATCTGAAGATTAGAAGCCCCCGAGGTATACCTTTACAGGACTTAAGGGTTTAGGGGTTTAGAGTTTAGGGCTTTCTATTTAAGGCCTCTAGTTGTTAGATGCGTGCGAAGGTCTGGGTGATCCTAGGATGGCGCTTAGAGGTTCTAGGAATTAGATTTTTTAACGGACTTGAATGTGTATTATAGTATCCTTATGGGGGGGGGTTCAAGGGGGGGGTAGATAACCTACTAATCCCTAGTTCTCTCTAGTGCTCCCTTCAGATTCCCTAAGGATTCCTGGTACCCTCCCCTCTTGAACCACCCTCCCTTAAGGACCCTATAAGGGTAGGGTTCACCTGGATCTTTGGAAGCCTACTCTCTTTCGGACAGCATCCGTTAGACAGAATTTAGACCCAGAAAGGGTAATGTATGAACCTGATTAAGAAACCTTGGGCCTTCATAGGGTTCCTTATGTGAATCCTACTATTTTGCGGTTATAGGCAAAGGGTTTCTTAATGAGGTTGCTACATTAATTGTGTGTGTAGAGGTAGACAAGACTCAGGCTTAGGCATAGGGCAGCAAAACCGTGGCAGCATATGAAACCCTGAACCCCCAAACCCTAAACCCCTAAACCCTCAACCCCCACACCCTAAACCCCTAAACCTGGGCAAGAGGTATAGTGCTTGTCAGGCCAATGCCTGCGCGAGGCTCAAATCCCTTCAGCAACCCCCGCTGCCCTGAGAACTTAGAAGGCGGTTTATGGTTTAGGGTTTACCTTAACCCTGAAAACCTACCCTTTCAGGGTTCCTTATTATGATTCCTTTATAGAAATCCTTAAAAAGGTAGGTTTTTCGGTGTTAAGGTAAGGTTATCCATCCAAACCCTGAAACCCCAAAGCCCTACACCCTGCAACCTTCAACCCTGATATGCCAAAAAACCTGATCCTAAACCCCTACTCGGAGGGTCGACTTAGTAAGTGGTTCATATCTGGACTCATAAATACCATAGCATAGGGGCCTAAATAATTTCCAATACTATTATTTTGGGGGTTCCTTATTATAGCTAAAATATACTATACCCCCAAACCCTATTCTAGTGATTAAGGCCCCTAGATTAGCACCAGCTAGGATCCTTTTCAGGGACTTAGTACCTGCTTTCGGAGTCCCCCGACCCTCAAAGTAAGAAAACCATGAACCCTAATCCCTAAACCCTACCTTCACCCCAAAATAACTTACCTTTGTACGGTTCCTTATAATGAATTTCCTATATAACTCCTTAAAAGGCAGGTCATTTCGGGTCCAGGTAACCCCTACTTGGAGGGTCGGGGGACTTAGTAAGTAGGTTATAAGTAGATCTTTAAGTGCCTTAACAGGGGCCCTAATTGGGGTTATGGTACTTATGAGTCTCTAAAATAACTACTTACTAAATATCCCGACCCTCCAAGTCATCTCTGAACGCAGAGACCGGCAGGCCTTGAGTTCAGCCTGAACCCTAAACCCTAAACCCTAGCCTCTCCAGGCATCCCTGCTCCCTCGTCGTCTCCTTGCTTCAAATGATGGGGATGGAGTTTAGGGTGTGGGGTTTAGGTGTTTAGGGGTCGGGATAGGGTTTAGGGTGTAGGGGTTTAGGGTGCAGGGGTTTAGGGTGTAGGGGTTTAGGGTGTAGGGTTTAAGGTGTGGGGTTTAGGCCGGGGTTTAGTGTGTAGAGGTTTAAGGTTTGGGGTCTAGGGTTTGGGGCTTCAACTGACAGCCCCGAGCCCTGGGAGGATCTAGAAAGTTGATAAAGGGGGCTCGACAGAGGATCCCTTTAAGGGGAACCCTCTTATAGAACGTTATAGGT